CTCCCCCTAATGGCAGACCAGTCTACTGCATTTGCATTGAAGAGAATGAAATTGCCTGGTTTGATCAATCTCAGTGAGGGGAGGGAATGGACAATGGAGCTTTCTAGATTCTGCTTAAAAATATTATGCTTATTTCTTTTCACTAGATGTAATAAGTAATATGTTAAATACTTGACTTTTAGATGATAATAATAAATTAATCTACTTGTTGGGAAAAAGTGCCACTATAAATTTGGGAATTTAGCTGAATTCTTTGGTCTAAATCAGGGGTCTGCAACCTTGACAACATTAAGACTTGTGGACTTCAGCTCCCAGAATTCCTCAGCAAGCTATGCTGGCTGAGGAATTCTGGGAGTTGAAGTGCACAAGTCTTAAAGTTGTCAAGGTTGCAGACCCCTGGTCTAAATAAAACTTTCAAAAACATCTTCCATAGGATATAAACTTCTATTAAGGATTCATTTTATGAAGTTTGTACATTCTATTTTGTGGTGCCTATAATATTAAAAGAATTAGATATCCCTAATGCAGTTCCAAGCTGCACTGATGAAAATATATATACATATACATATACATACACACACATACATACATATACATATATATAGTTAGCTTTACAACTTTTACAACTACAATTGGGACCAGACTTTCTGTTGCTAAGCAAGAGGCTTGCTAAGGGAGCCATGCCCCATTTTACAACATTTTTTTGCCACAATTGTTAAGTAAATCAGTGCAGTTGTTGAGTGAATTATGCAGTTGTTACACAAATGCAGCTTCCCCCATATAGCTAGGTAGGTCACAAATGGCAGTCACATAATCATGGAACACTACAACCATTGTAATCAATGTCAGTGGCCAAGTGCCCAAATTTTTATCAGATAACGGTGGGGATACTGTTATGGTGATAAGGGCAAAGACTGGTGGTAAGTTGCTTTTTTAATGCTGTTGTAACTTCAAACACTTGGCAAATGAATGTTTGAAAGTTGAGGACCACCTATAAAAAGAAAATCTGGAAACATTCATTTAGAAATCTTGAAATGTCTGTTGTGGTTGAAATTTCAAAAAGCCAGTTCAATTATTGCTTCCTCTCTGATCCACTAGGTAGTGTGTATAGTTTTGTCTCCTGGTCTATTAGAAATTGATTCTGTTCTATTTGGTCCACCCATGGCATTCTTGACTCTTCCTGAATGAAGAAATTTGTTGTTAAATACAATATATTCTCCTGCTTTCTAATCTCAGGGCAGACTCACCAAACAAGCTCATAAAATAAACTGATGAGTACTCTTACCCCACTGGAGGGACATAGCATAGCTTCTTTCCATTTCACAAAACCAGCTCTTCCTGCTTAAGATGCCAACTAAGCAATTTTCAAAGATTGCCAAATGTAAAAAGATATTTAGTATCCCTTTAATATTAGGCCCAAAGCAGATACTGGAAAGTTAATACTTGCTTTTTTCCCCAGTTTTCAAAGGGACCTTGATTGCAAGGAGCAACTAGGAACTGGCAGTACTTTGACTTGGCACAGAGATTGAATTTTTAAACTGAGGAGATCCAAGGAAATGTGTATGTAGGAGATGATGAAAACATGGTTGAAAAAGGAAACTGTTCTTTCTAAAGAAATGTGTATTTCACTAAATGTTCTCCTATTATTCTTATCATGTGTATGGAAATCAAAAGGTATTTTCAAGAGAAAGTAAAAGCTGCACTTTTAAAGATGTGCTGAAAAAAGATTTTTAATAGATGCAAAAAGCTGGACTGACTGATATTGTTTCCTAAAGGTCCAGTATAACCTCCCTTCTTTTGCAACAGAGCTACTTCGAGATAATTTTTTTGAGTAAATTGCCATAACTTGCATGTGATGTTTTATAGATAGTATATACATTCAGAGAGTTCTATGTGTAATTTGCAATATGGAAAAATATGTGTATTATTATATGGAAAATTAAACTCTTTGGAAATGGAATAGCAACTTGTAACAAAACTACCTGAGGGTGGCTTTGATAAAAGATTACATAAGCTTTGTAGTGGGTTTTTGTTACTTATGTATTACTTCTCTATCATTTATTACTTCCAACCATGGTGGTGCAGTGATTAGAATGTAGTATTGCCGAGTAACTCTGCTGTCTGTCAGCGGTTTGATTCTAACCAGCTCAAGGTTGACTTAGCCTTCCATCCTTCTGAGGTCAGTAAAATGAGGCCCCAGATTGTTGGGGACAATTTGCTGACTCTGTAAACTGCTTAGAGAGGGTTGTAAAGCATTATGAAGCAGTATATAAGTCTAAGTATTATTGCTATTTGCTTTTAAACAGCGCTAAAATATTTTTTTCTTGCTTTTTTGAAGGAATGTATTAGAATAATAGCAAACCACTATATATGTTAAAAATTATTATACCACTAAGCTCACATAATATAATATATATCAGTCTAAATTCCATTAGCTATCTACTAGTCAAACTATGTTTGGATGAGTTGTCCATCTTCAGCAGCAAAATTGTAATGCTTCTAAATTCTGTTTAACAGATTGGGATTGAGAATTATAATAGGATTATAATCCCTTTATTTATTTGGGGGCACAATGACTCAGCAGTTAAAGAAGCTGAGCTTGTCAAATGGAAAGCTGACAGCCAGGGTTCGAGATCCAAGCATTGCGCAATGGGGAGAGTTCCAGTGGTGGGATTCAGCCGGTTCACACCACTTGGGCAGAATCGGTAGCTAATTTTTTGTTGCCTAGGCCCAGAACGGACTTCCAGAAGCAGCATCCGCATAGAGAACTGGTTGTTCACATATTTGAATCCCGCCACTGGAGAGTTCTCATTATTTGCCCCAGCTCCTGCCCACCTAGCAGTTCGAAAGCATGCAAATGCAAGTAGATAACTAGGTACCTCTTTGGTGGAAAGATAAGAGCTTCAGCATATAGTCATGCTGGCCACATGACCGTGGAAAAGCTGGCTACCTTGACTAAGAAACGGAGATGAGCACCGTGCCCGAGAGTCAGACATGATTGTTCAGGGGAATGTCTGCCTTTACCTTTACCTATTAATTTATAAACGTTATTGGCCACCCATCTTGCCACACACTAATTCTTTATAATTATAGTCCCTTCCTTGAAGGTTCTCTATGAGTAAACCAAGTGTCATCTTTTGTTTACGATCTATCTTTCAAATATTTCATTAGACTTAGTGTGATACCTATGCACCATTTTCTTCACAGAGGCAAATACTAAAGTTGCACTTTTTTTCTTGACAGTTTTCTTGTTTCTAAACAAGTATGTATGTGTAACCCCTATGATATGGTTACTGTACTTTTGTGGTAATTCAAATTGTGATGAAGAGGAAGTGGATTAAGTATATTAATTAGATTATAAAGCTGTGGTTCCCAAAGTATGCAGAGCACTTCAGCCAATTTAGAGGGGTGCCAGGTGATAACACAGTGAGGGCTGGCATCTGTCAGACCTCACATGAACTGCAAACTTAGGGGTGCTCTGGAAAAAATTACTCAGGGGACCATGAGCTGATAAAGTTTAGGAATCTCTGATACAAATAATATCTTGGCTGATCTTGACTACATCTTGATATCTGTTAAACAAGCATCCTGCACTGAATTCATAAAATGTCCTTGGCTCTTTGGGCCAGATGTCAAGTGGCTTTTTATGAGCAATATCTTAGCCTGAAGCACAAATCCAACACAAGCAATTATCTTGCATTCCACGGTAATAAGATTTCGTCATTTCATGAAGCTGTAATTTCAAATAGCACTTTGAGAAGTCCAGCAGCAACCTGTTAAAATGTTTAACATGTGCAAGAAAGCAGAGTTCAAGGTCATGAAGAATTGGCTGTTTCAAGTTGCCTGCCTGCAGCTATAAAAAAATTGTCTGGTTGCTAATATATGTGGAAATTTTAAAGCCACATCCATTACTCAGACCACAGAAACGAAATAGGTAAAAGTATAAAAAAGTGGAGGGGAGAGGTGGAGATTTGCAGTCATGGGAAGCTGGCAAGATAAATTCTTACATGGACTTTTCTCTCTACCTTTCAGCTTATTTCCCCAATTAAATTATTTTTTGTTCTCTCTTCATTGTTAAATTTAGAACCACTTGCCTTTTAATATTATAATCCGTAATATATTAGGAATTCAGTTTTAGATAGTTCTAATCACTACCAGCTGTGGGATGTGGATAAAATGGAGGTAATTTTTTTGTTATGCAAAAATGAACAGAGACAGTTATATATCTCGGGGACTCAATGTTAAACACCAGTTTGGATAAATATGAATCAGCCAGGTTAGGTGGCAGCACTCAGCTAAAGTTGACTGATCAAAAAGTTTAAATAGAATTGCAGTCCTTGAAAAGAAGACTCCCAGGGCATCTCAAAATTGCAGGCTAGATTGGGAAGCTGAAACAAAAAAACTCCCAGAAGAGATGATAAGCTACTTTTGTATTGCTGCCAAGAGAACTGTCTGGATGTGTCACTGAAGTCACCAGCACCTGAGGCCAACTAGAAGAGTATGACCAACTGATAAAAGGCTATAAAAAGGGTCAAAGGGGATTTTCTGTAATCGGGGATAAAGGGTGATGCACTGACTTCAAACACCCGCATTTTATTTACTGTTCTTTCTATATGCCATGCATTTCCTAACCTGCCACTGAATTAAATAGCTTCTTGGCAGTGGCCAGAGATTGCCAATGCTGTCCAAATAGGTCAAGACATTTTTCCCTTTCCTGAAAAGACATCTCCTCAGCACCCTAGTTTGCTTCCTGCTCCTCAAGCCAACTTTTCTGGCAATTCTATCTTGTTAGGTTACTTGTCTTGCACTCTATTTTCTTGCATCTACTCAGGTGCCCCTCCGCTCAAAACATTCCAGTAATACTTTCCTCAAATTTCTCTCGCCCCCCCGCCATCTCCTTTGCCCTCTTTCTACCTGCCGCCGCCCCCTCTCTTTGCCCCTCAACTTAGAGCTTCCAAAGAACTCACGGCCCGGCGACCCCTCTTCCCCTCGCCCTGTACCTGAGTCGCTGGGCGCCCCGACGGCTGCTTCGAGACACCACCAGGGTGGTCAAAAGCTCCCGAGCGGCTCTTCTCAGCGAGACGGTGGCGGTAGCCATGTGGTTCCCTTTCGCACTACAGATGCAACAGCGGCGGCGGCGGCAGCAGCAGCAGCAGGCAGTTCCCCACCCTTGACTTCGGACACTCGCCTCAGGGAAAGAGGCTGGAGCGGCAGCTGGAGCGCGGAGATAGCGGGAGACGAAAGCTGGAAAAGCGGGGCGGGCGCTGCGTTGCGCTTTCGCTCCCTGAACTTGGGCGCTTGCCGAGCCAAGTTGTGGCTCGGCTCTGTCGCGTCAGCGAAGAAAGTGAAAGTGGGCGGCGATGTCCTTCTTTGGGACCAGCCACTCCGTCTCCCGGGCAAGGCAGCGCAGGGGTTGGCCGGCCCAGCTGGGTTCTGCTGGGGCGGCGGAAACCCTCGCCTTAGGGTTTCCTCCCGCGGTGAGCGCCCGCTTGTTCTCGCAAGCTCTGGAAAGACGGAAGAGGGAAGCAAAACTCCTAACTGAGGAAAAAAAAAAACCCTGCACCAAACCAAAGGGAAGCAACGTGTTTTTTGTTTTTTTTTTTTTAATCCTTGCAAGAAAGAAGGGCGCTTTTCACCACCTCGAGTCCCGGAGCCGGTTGGAGAAACAGCTGGTCTTCCCGCGAAGATGGGACCTCCGTCGCTCCATCTGGGGGTCCAAAAAGGCTGTCCGAGACCTTCATTCTAACACAGGGCTTTTCAACCTTTTCAGCCACTGTACCACTTTTAGGATATGGCAATATCCGAGTACCACCAGTCGCCTAGCAAGGTGTCAAAAACTTGATGACCAAAAAAAAAAAAAAAAAAAGGAAAAAAGTGATGAAGTACAGGTAATCCTCGACTTACAACAGTTCGCTTACTGACTGTTCGAAGTTACAAAGGCACTGAAAAAAGTGCCCAAGCCACAGCTGTGTAAGACCCCTGCCTTCCCGCCTGGCGGCGCTCTTCCTCCTGTCCGAGGTTTCCATTGTTGTGAGCATTTCTGTTGAGGATTGGCAGCGGGGGTGGGGTGGGGGTGTTTGGTTTTTATTCCCCCCCCCATCTGCTGGGTGGTTGCAGCAGGTTTTGGTCACATGACCCTGGGATACTGTAACTGTCATAAATATGAATCAGTTGCCAAGCATCTGAATGTAAATCACAAGATCCTGGAGATGCTGCAACATTCCAGCTGATCAGCGCTTCTTCTGGGCTCAGCAGAAGTGCCAGAATCAGCGCTGAGCTCCAGCTGGAGCCTGGGGCTGATCCTGATGCTTCCGCTCAGCCCTGCAGCTCCAGCCATCTCTCGCTCAGGCTTATGCAGTGCTCATTCCCCTCCCCCGCTACCACTTTTCTAGGATGGTCGCGTACCACCTATCGTGCCAATGTACCACAGGTGGTACCCGTACCACTGGTTGAAAAGCCTTGTTCTAACAGACGGAATGGCCGGGTCCTTCTGGAAGGGGACCCCGAGAGCTGTGGCTGCTACTTTTCTGGATGGCGATCGACCGAGATGCTTGCTTAAAACTGTAGTAGAGCCCTAGGAAGCTGACTGGTCCATATTTAAAAGAGTCGTTTGTGGGATACATTTATGTGCACCTCCAAATGGGCCTATAGAGGCAGAAGGCATTCTTCCCAAATTACCTCACTGAGAAGAGAAGATGCTATAGATTGTATAGAAGAACATATATAGTTAGATACAGTTAGGAAAGGATAATTTTCTCACTTGAGGAACACACTTGCCCAACAACTGAGATACTATGGGAGAGACACACATACACACGTAACTCTCTGAGGCTATTTTAATGTATTATGCCTTAAAATAAATTATTATGGGAGTAAATAACAAAATACATATTATTATTATTATTTAAAAAAAGGTTTTTATTTTCCATTTATTGATACAAAATACAATTAAATTCCTAACCATTGGTACCGCCTGCCCATTCCCCCCAGGCTGCGTCCACCCTCTCTAATCCTTCCCCACTTCCCTCCTCTTTCTCTCCTCCCCTCCTACTTTCTTCCCCTCCCCTTCTCCTCTAACCATCCTACTTCCTCCCTACTCCTTCCTCCCCTCTCATCTCTCTCACACACATGAACGCAGCATAGAGGAAATGCCCAAGCGTTTTCCATGTCTATATTATCATTACCCACCCACCCACCCTCAACCCTCCTGCCCTCGCTTCCCAGAGCAGAGTACAGGGTTATTAATAAGAAAGTTAACAATAATAAAAAAAGAAAAGAAGAAAGAAAAAATACATATTATTGTATCTACATGTACGTTTCTATTGTAATACTAGTAATTATTGTATACATAATAAATTACTACAGTTGTAACACTTGTAATATATGTAATACATTAATGCTATTTGATAAGGGCTATTGAGCCTCTATCTTCTTAACACAATGTTGGGGGGGATGTTGTAAAAAAAAAGGCATTCAACAAACTGTAATATTGCATTAGTCACATTTGAATTCAAAGACTTGCTCATATTTTCTTGCTTCACAGCCAATCCATCCTAAAAGAATGGAAATACCACCTTTTGATTGACAACTTCAGTTATTTTATTTGACTGAAATCAATAAGTAGTTTTGTCAATTTGCTGTCACAATTGCAGATAATAAGAAATAGTGCTTTCTTCCAAATATATATTTAAATTTAAAATGTTGATGCAATTGTTTAATGTATTAATGGTATTACATTTATTTATTATTTCAGTTTTGAGGCCATCCAGCTCCATAGCAATTCTGCATGGCTTGAAATTAAAAGAGAAAATCAGCTATTTCAAAGAGGAAAAAAAGAGAAAGCATACTGGAGACGAACTCAAAGACTGAACAGAAAAACTAAACAAAACAGCTGAGGGGGCTCAGCCACATGGAAATCTAAGGCTGGAAGAACAACACTTCCTTAGCCATTGGGCAGAAAATGGAAAGCATGAGAGTAATATGAATGCATGCTCTAACACGGTCTATACCTCTGAAACCCTGTGTTTCGCTTCATGACGCACATATGTATAATTTCTTGCAAGTTGTGTCCTCAAGATACTTTGTGAACTTTTACAATTTTTTTTCTTGTAATGGGCAACAGTATCACTCACAATTAACCCTTCACAGGATCTGTATCTTTTATGATAGGTGTGCATTTCTTAAATGTTTTAGTATCCTGGCAACCAAGAAAAAGAAGTGGTGCCTTCTAATTTGTTTGGAAGGGCATGACTTCCCTAATTACAAAACAGTATCTCTTGAGATACTGTTCCTTTCCAGAAGCCAAAATCAGAGAAATGGGATGCTTCAATTTGAAATTTTACAAAATTTTGGAATATGATTTTTCCAAAATTCAAAAAAAGAGAACTTTCTTTAGACATTAAAGGATGTTTACTAGCATTTCTCAAGCACAGGGTTCTCCAAATATGGGGACTTCAATTCTCAGGATTCTCCAGATGGCTGAGAAATATGAGAAATGAAGCCCACACTTCTCAGCCTGGGGGAAAAAAATCACTAGCTTAATTCCTCTAAAAGCTCAGTATAACTACCCATTGATAGAATCCATATAAAATTGTCTAATTCAATGTCATTTGACTTGTTGACCTTTAATTGTGTTGGGATTTCCACTTTTGGAATTTCTGAGCAGCATGAATTTAAGACTTCCTGAAATCGCAGTCACCAGATCGTTGTGATTGCCTCTCTTACAATTTTCAGCCAGGTACAGTACTAGATGCTGCAAAATTGGAATAATTACTCTTTTAAAGCCGTCTAAACGAATGATCCCTCCAACTGATTTATGAGTATTTGTTTGAAATTCACTCAGTTTTGCTCTAAGCCAGATAACCTATTTCATATCAGCAAAATAATTGTTTCTTATAGGAAAACAAGCCAGTATTTTTAAACCAATAAATATCATGGAATAAAAATCAAGTCAAACACCCACTCCCCATCCCAATATTTAGAATCATAAATATTGAAAAAGATGCACTGGATGAAGATTCTGGTAATAGAGTTACCACAAAAGAGTATCAATCATTTTTCCATTAAAGAAGAGTGCTTTGTAAATTCCATATTTAGCCAAGGCCATTTTTTCCAAGATGGTGTGCTGGAGCAATACAAAGCTTTCTGAGTAGAATTTGTTTGGAAGAAAATTTACAGTTTTAATCCCAAATATATATTTTATTCAAATACTAAAAATCACTGAATAATTGCCACAAAGAAATGATACATATAGGATTCTTTTAGCTGTGTTTTTGGTTACAACTACCTCATTTTCTTATATTCCAATGAAATAGAAAAGCTGAGCTGACAGTCAGATATAAGATTGTCCTCAACTTATGACCACGATTGAGACTACTATTCCTGCTATTAAACAAGGCGGTTATTAAGTGAGTTGCACCCAATTTTACAACCTTTTTTATGCTAATCATTAAGCAAATCATTGCAGTTATTATGTGAATCATGCAGTCATTAAGCAACTCTGGCTTCCCCCGTTGACTTTCATGCTGGAAGCTGGCTGCAAAGATCGCAAAGGATGCTGGGATGTTTGCAATCATTATAAATACATGCCAGTTACCAAGTTACCCAAATTTTGATCATGTGGGGATGTTATGTTGTATGTGCAAGGATTGGTTGTAAGCCATTTTTTTTTAGTGCCATTGTAACTTTGAATAGTCATTCAACAAATGGTTGTAAATCAAGGACTACCTGTAGTTCTATGTTCAGGAGAGAAATTAACAGTCTCAGAAAACTTCAAACTTGGTGGAACAAAGTGCACACATAAATGGTTCTAGTTATAAAAGTGATCACACCTCATTTTAACAATATAGATCAGTGATGGTGAACCTTTTACGGACCGAGTGCCCAAAAACCACCCCACCCTCTGGCCCGCCCATCTGCCCCTGCTCCACCCCCACTCCGCCCCCTCCTCCACCCCGCCCACTCGCAGGACCACTCACGCCTCCATGGCCCATCGCAGATCATCCAGAGGGCCTGTAGCACCATGGCAGCCACACCCTCCACCCACACCCAGCATCATCATCTGCATGCCTCAGGGCGCGAAGGCAGAGTCTTCTCCCTGCTGCCTGGCTGCCATGTTCTTGGCTGTGCTGCTCCATGCGGGCCGTGCCTGGGGCCAACTCTCTGGGGGGCTGCTGTGAGGAGGGGGCTGTGGAGGAAGGCAGGGCTGGGGCAATGGCGCATGCCCACAGAGAGGGCTCTAAGTGCCGCCTCTGGCACACGTGCCATAGGTTTGTCACCACTGATATAGGTTAAAAAATAGAACAGCTGAAATTGCGAGTCAGAAGAGACCAAATGGGAGAGAGACACTAGTGTGTGTGTGTGTGTGTGTGTGTATGAATTGGTGGTAGCTGGGAAGAAAAAAGAAGACTCTCAATTTGGGAGATATTTTAACCATTTCCTGCAAAGGATTGGTAGAATATGAATAGTCCTTGACTTATGACTGATCACTTAGTAACTGCTCAAAGTTACAACAGACCTTCCCAAAAGTTACTTACAACCCCATTGTAAAGTTCTGTTCCCGCCCCCCAGTCACATGGTCATATTTTGGGCACTCAGCAACCAGCCCACATTTACGGACTTTTGCAGTGTCCCAGTTATGTGATCATGATTTACAATGCCCATAACAACAGTGGGTTCATTTAACAACCATGGCATTTTTATGTGGCGTTTGCTTAACAACCTTGGTGTTTGCTTTATGATTGTGGCATTCACTTTATAACAGCCACAACCTGTTTTACAACTGTTGTGACTTACAACCCTAATTGCCAGGCTCAATTATGGTTGTAAGTCCAGGACTACTTATATTACTTCAAAACAGCCTATGTTTAGATCCAGATATTACTTTTTGGTTAAACATCACATATTTTGTTTTCCTACATTGATATTTGTGGGTAATACCAACCCCGCCTTTCTTTGTACATTGTACAGAACTGCTGATTTATAATTTATAATTAGTCTCTGGATATGCACATTGGCAAGATCTAGCTTGACCATCAAGTGAAACTAGCCTCAAGGAAATAATGAAACATAAAAAGAGAGTCCTTTTTTAATTATGGTTGAAGAATCCCAGCATTCAACAGTAGCCAACCTGAAAAGTGGCATCTTGTTTTGTGAACAGGTTATAATTGTGCTATCAGGTACATTTCATATTTACAAATCATAATTAGGAATAATGACGATAAAGAATGTGGGTCAAACAGTGGATACCTGTCTAGATAGAATGCTTCATTGGATTACACATTAACAATTAGACAATGTGGTGAAAAATTCTGAGTCCCTTAAGGACGTTCTGCCAACTACGTCAAAGGAACACACTAGAATTGAGGGAGTTTCAACATTTCCATTCAATCCAACCTGAAACATTTGACTTCAGGTTAATTAGATGGCTAAATGATGCAGTGTAAGGCACGACACTGTAAGCTCTCTTGAATGTAATTGCTTTTATTTGATCTAAGATGGTCTTTTAGCTAATTGTCTAATGAAATATGAACAGGAGAGGATTTAGGGCTAAGTTTGATGCAGCGAAGTATTGATTCTAAGAAAAATCAGCCTTATTATTCTTTCTTCTATTATTGGCATTTTTCATAGAACATATTTCTTTACCACTTTTTTCTTCTGCTTAAATCTGATCATACAATTTGCGCAAAAAAGTTCTGATACTGTAAAAAGGAATGGTTTAGGTAGCTTTTACCCTTAGAGAACTCTTAGTTTGTCAGGCTGTAAAACAAAATTTCAGAGAAATGTCATAATGTTTGCTTTTTAGAAGGCAATGAACTTAAGTTTCTTTTACAATAAGTACCAGACTTTAATATTGCATAATTTTAAAGCTCTGAACTATAGATTTTATGGCATAGATCCAAGAAGGCAATGAGTCAGAAAATTAACATACAAGGAGTTTGATCTCATATATATTTATTTGAACTAACTCCCATGAGTGGTCTACTGATAATTTTGGAAAGACAAAAACCACACTGAAGAAAATCTATAGTAATATATATTATGTGTCAAGTCAGATGGTGACCATATAGAATGCCTTCCTGGACAATCTATCCCCAACTTGATCTTTCAGATGTTCTAATGGTGCACTCATTGTGGATAGTTGACTTATGATGAGAGTTGAGCCCAAAATTTCCATTGCTTAGCAAGGCAGCTGTTAAGTGATTTTTGTCCCATTTCTTGCCACAGTTGTTAAGTGAATCACTGCACTTGTTACTTTACAACTGTGTAACTAAGTTGTAAAGTGACTTTGTTTTCAGAAGGTCACAAAAGGTGATCACATGATCATGGGACACGGCAACCGTCATAAATACTTGCCAGGTGCCGGAATTTGAACCTGTGACTGTGAGGATGCTGCAGCAGTCATAAGTGTGATAAGTCACTTTTTCAGTGTTTTTGTATTTTCAAATGCTTGTTAAGTCAAGGACTACTTCTACCACTATAACTAGGTCCATCCACTTTGCTGCTGGTTGTCCTTTTCTTTTTCTTTCCACCTTGCCCAACATTATTATTTTTTCTTCCTCTTCCTCCTGGCAAAAATAAATAAATACTCAAAAACAAAGACACACAGAGCATTAAAACACATTGGTTAAGAGCTGGGCTACATGAAGGGCTTTGAGGGTGTTGACTAGACTGGAAAATTGCAAAACAACTGGTGGAGTTCCACATTGGTATCAAGAATTCTAGAATAGAATAGAGCTGGAAGGGACCTTTGAGGTCTTCTAGTCCAGCCCCCCCCTACTCAAGCAAGAGAACCTATACCATCCCAAACATGTGACTGCCCAGTCTCTTCTTAAAAACCTCCAGTGATGGAGTGCCCACGATTTCTGAAGGCAAACTGTTCCACTGGTTAATTGTCCTCACTGTCAGCAAGTTTCTCCTTAATTCCACGTTGCTCTCTCTTTGGTAAGTTTCCAACCATTATTTCTTGTCCTGCTCTCTGGTGCTTTGGAAAACAAGTTGACCCCCTCTACATATTGTAGTATTGTCACCAAGAGGGAGGTTCCAGCTTAATTCTCTATCCTGGAGAAGCTAAACAGACACCGGATTTCACTTTA